GGGCAGGTGGGGAGTGAATGTGCTCCCTCTGAGGAGGTTGCCGGCTGCGCTCCCGTTTAGCGGTTCCGAATGCTAGAAACACCTTTGGCTCCGGCATGCCCGGTTTCTGATCTAGCTCAGCAACGGGGGGGCTGCACCGCCTCTTCGTGTTGTGCGTTATTAAAGCCTGCTCTTTTTTCTGCACGGGAAGTTTTTTGCCGGCAGGAACGTCCTGAGAGTAGAGATGGGAGATAAAGTGTAAAGTAACTTGCAGAATTGGCCTCTGAGTAAGGGGCCGCTAAAATACAAGTTTGTACTTCAGTGAGGGAGCTACGGAGTTGGAGACTTCAGTGTTGGTTACGTTAAAAGCTTTAGAACGTTGAATTGTGAGAGGAGAATTACTTGGAAGATGTTAGGACATTGTTTTGAAAATAAATGCTTTGCAGTGAGAAGAAAAATGGAGTGTGATTATCTTCTCAAAACATTCCAGTTTGAGTATTTCACTTCTGACTGTGGTTGGGCTGATAAATACTTTAATTCTAGGAGTATCTTGCAAAAACATTTGTGTATATATATATCATAGTTTAACCACCAGAATGTTTTGTATGGTTTCTCTGGTTATGTATGTGTACAGGAGCATTAGATATTTTATACGTTATCTGTATATCTTCTATGTGCAGAGACTGTAAAGATACTGTACGCTATATCTGCATTGTCTAATGCATGCAGGTAATTGTTTTATCCTGTGACTGATGCGCTTGAAATATGATGCCGTATCATATCACTCAGAAAACCAGAAAATTAGATTTGTACCACAGACTAATATTATAGAATTTCTGCTTCAAATGTCATTTGAACAGTGGTATGCCTCTTACAGTGTGGGTTTATTTGTTTTTAATATTGCAGATGCTTTTTGATTGCAAGACTGCTGAAATGTTTTGAGGGCTGCCTCTCCTTTCCTAACCATGAACAGTTCAAAATCACCAGGGCTAGCTGGATTTGGAATCTTGAAAAACACAACCTGCCACACGGAGAAGAAGATTTCCGTTTTCTTTTCGATAATCTTCATGACGGTGGGAATTTTGTCCAACAGTCTTGCAATAGCAATTCTCATGAAGGCGTATCAGAGATTTAGACAGAAATCGAAAGCCTCCTTTTTGCTTCTTGCCAGTGGTTTGGTCGTCACAGATCTCTTCGGCCACCTCATCAATGGAGCCATTGCAGTGTTTGTGTATGCATCGGATAAAGACTGGATTCGATTCAACCAGTCCAACATTCTTTGCAGTGTTTTTGGCATCTGCATGGTTTTCTTTGGTTTGTGCCCGCTCTTTTTGGCCCCGCTTTTCCTGGGCAGTTTGATGGCTGTTGAACGGTGCATTGGAGTCACCAAGCCAATATTTCACTCTACAAAAATGACTTCTAAACATGTGAAAATGATGTTGACTATGGTATGTCTGTTTGCTGTTATTATAGCTTTGCTGCCTATTCTTAGGTTTAGAGCCTATCAAATTCAAGCATCGAGGACCTGGTGCTTCTATAAAACAGAACATGTTGAGGACTGGGAAGACAGATTTTATCTCTTACTTTTTTCTTGCCTTGGGTTACTGGCCCTTGCTATTTCATTCTTGTGCAATGCTGTCACAGGAATTACCCTCTTAAGAGTCAAATTTAAAAGTCAACAAAGACAAGGCAGATCTCATCATTTTGAAATGATCATTCAGCTCTTGGCTATAATGTGTGTTTCTTGCATTTGCTGGAGTCCATTCCTGGTAAGAGCCTAATGTGTTTGCCAATTTTTAATGCACATCACTGTATAAAAGTTATACTTTTTTATTTCCAGGTTTTAAAGCGCTTTAGCTGTGGTAACAACTCCATTCACTCTTCAAGGTATTAATTTTACGGCATATTGCCCATAATGTGTGTACCTGTGCATCTATAACAAAAATGGTAATTACTCTCCACTTCTGATCATAAGCAAAATAGATTGAGTAAGCAAAATGTATAGGGAGTGTGAGGACTTTATTTCCAGTGCTGTGAAGCAGACAGTGGTAGCAGAATGGTGGCTAGAATAAATCAGAGCAAATATTGAGCTTGTCCAAAAATTCAGTGAAGTCTTGGAGTGGCAAGTCTGTTTAGTCTGTACTGTGGTTCATATCATTTTTTATTTATGGTAGTCTGTTCGTTGTTATTATTATGGTTTGCTGCCACTTCTGAACTGTGTTACGGAAGATAACAGTTAAGAACGTAAAAATCCTCTACTCCATTAGCAAGGTATTAAGGGCTTTGCTTTAGAGTCATGTTAAAAACCAGTGGGTTAAAATAAAATTTTGGTTTAGACCTGACCAAACTGGGTTTGTACTCCGGACAGATGACTAGCAAAGCTGCTCTGTGCAGTCAGTGCGCTTTCTCAGCTGTCCCGGCTGTGACTTAGGACTGCTTGCTGGTAACTGCTGTGACTCTGCCAGAGCGCGAAGTGTTGCTCATGTCAGTGTGTGCTCTAGCAGGGTCAGAGGAAGCGGGAAAGAATTTGACGGCTCCTGTTGTATGATGGCATTATAAAGCTGATATTAACTGTGACTCTTTTTACTGCAGTAAACCTGACTGAAGAAAATTTATTTTTTTTACTGGGGTGAGAGAGGTTAAGTCACAAGTAATATGAAATCTTAATTTGTTTCCTAGAAACAAGGTCCCATAGTTTTCCAGTAATGTGAATGAGGAGCAATTTCGATTTGAGCTTACAAATATAGAAATTTAAATCTGAGACCTGAATCAGATCCAGTTATATCTCATCTACTCACTGCCTATGGTATAGCATGGAGTTACCTGAACTAGTTCTGAATTAGATACTGATATTAGCCTAGCTGCAACAGTTGGGTATATCTGGCAGGTAGCATTTAATTAATCCAGTATCGCAGACTTCAGGGAGAGAGTCTGGATATAAATTTCTGCATCACTGAAATGCACAAAAACTCTTTCATTTTTGTTCAACACACACCGAATTTTCCCCTGCTTCTCTACTGATTTTTCAAGACTTGCTCTACAGCATAGTTTAAATTCATGTTGGCTTTTGTCAGAGTCCCGATTATGGTGTATAGAGCATAAACAAAGTTGTCAGAACAGTATAGCAAGCTTTTGTAGTGAACTTACTTCCAGTTACTTCCAGACACCTCCTGAAATTTGTCTGGCGCAAGCCACAGAGTGGTTTTCAAGAAAAGCAACTCAAATGATGGCTTTACTTATAATGAAAAAACAGTACATTATCCTCTGGTGACGTTTATTTTCAGATAAAATAACTGTCCTTAAAGGTTGGAATTAATTTGATTTTTAAAAAGCCCTTGGATATCAAAAGAGCTATAGACTTTTTTAATGCAAAAGGGATACTTCATTTATTCAACATATGAAAGAACACTATGTTGCAACTACTGTGGTTGTTTTTTCAGTGTTGGTAACTTTGTTATGCCTTTCAATTTTTTTTAATTATAAAAACATAATTTTAAAAATCTTGACAATCTTTAATGAAATCACAACACTACTTTTGTTAAAGTATTTAATTTCATCTAAGTTGTAGTTGACGACGAATTATTATTCCAGCAGCAAATTTTTTTCCAGAGCTTTTTCAGAGTTTGGTGTTTTCATCAGCTGGTGCTATAGACCAGTCAATGACTTCTTGCTTAATTTTGTTCTTGGTAGTTTTGGGGACTGCGTTGCAGAGGGAGGTGATACACAAGCAATTCTGGTTCATTGGGTGGCAAATCTGCCGGTGCTCTCTGTGCGTTCCGGGCTCACGATGCTTTGCTTCTGGATCTCTTTTGAAATGAGATGAGCCAAACTATCACCAAAATTAGCCTGGCAGTATGGAAGACAGTTCTGCAATATGGACAAATTTATGTCAGAAACAAGAAGTTTAAAAAAATGTTAGTGAAGGTAGGATTTAGTTCTTGAAACAAAGTTGCAAGGAAGTGAACAGTTAGTGTTTTAGCCGGAGAGTTCGGTAGTCTGGAAAATGCGAAGGAGGGGCTCCTTGGTAGATATTACCTTTCTTAGCTGTTAGGATTGTAGAGTTGTCATCAAAGTTAATTCTCTGAATTACCAACTCTTTGTTTTGATAGCATTGTAGTCACTGAACACAAACAGCATTATAAGTGCAGCGTTAATTTAGCAAGCTTTATTGGACTGCAGTGGAGCATATAGATTCAGTGTAATAAAGCTTTGCCAGGAATGTACTGCTGAAGTGCTACAATAAAGAGATCCAGGGTTTATCAAAGCGTATGATTTACGAAGAATTGCTGATCCAAATCTACTTGTCTGATTTATCTGAAACCTCTCAGGGCTTTTAATTTGTGAAATGAATTGTTTAGATTCTGTAGTTTAATCAGCATATACCAAAATACGTATTTCTTGAAATAAATATGAGCAGGTGTTCATAAGTGAAATTATTTGACAAAGTAGCTAAATACATGCTTGTTTTGCATTCATTTGCTTTTTAAATTTTTTCTCAAAGCAAAATCTAGAAGTCAGTGTCAATCCTTGAATTGCGAATTTTACCCATGTTCTCTATCCTCAAGGAGTATACAGAATAAAATGTTATGTGAGAGTGAATTGCCTCTATATAAACCGAAGCAATTATAAATGAAACCAACCTTTGGAATAGAAAGCGGAGGAAGGCGATGCAGTTTATGCCACATGTGGTTTGTAGATACAAGAGTTTAGATTTATTTGGTGTGATTCACCATCTGATGGGGGGTTTGCTTTGCTTATTTTTCTTCTGCTTTTAATCATCTGGTGTTACGTCGATTGTCATATGTGCATGGCTACTAAAATCAAGTCTATCCAATACTGTCATCCAACTGCAGATTTTATCTGCAGGTTTTATCATCACTATTAGATTTTAATTTCTTTTTTTTTCCAAGTGGAGTTATATATTCAGTCACTGTCCTGTGCTAAAATCACTTTTAGATGACAGTAGAGGCACAAGACCCTGGATTGTCCTTTATGGTGTCTGGTGTGGAACTGAACTTGAGTTCTGTACCTGCTCAGTGGTAGTGAACTTGTTTTGGTGCCTTTTTATATCTGTATGTATGTATATATATCTAACATTTAATGTTTTATATAATAATATATAATGCTATAATCAATCACCACCTCTATTTTAAGACTCCTGGAGATCTGGAGCGTTTTTCAGGAGCAGAGCCCATGGCATGGCTCATGTGGAGCTCTGCTTGGGGCTGTTGGACAGGGACTTCCTTCTGATTTCTGCCTTCTGATTTCTTACCTGAAGCTCCATCTCATTTGTTCCTCAAAAATGAGCAGCTTTTTCAAGTTTTCTGCCACTGTGTGGGAATCTTTCCTTAGCGGAGTACCAGAATGAGGGGTGCTCCCTGCTTCTTCCCTTGTGGGGGAACATTTATCTCCTTTTGAGGAGTTGAGAGCGGGAGGGAAATCACAAAAAAAGGAACAAGTGAAATTCATGAGTTTTCCGATAATCTATGTAGTCAATGATTTGCAGAGGCATATGTGTTCTGCGTCCAACTAATTTTGCTTTGTGATGGGTAATTCCAGGAAAATATGTTCCGAAGATGGTTAACATCAACTTCTCTGTGTAGTAAGTAATCTTTTTTCACCCTTGCTAGAATCTTAGCCCTTTGCTAGGGGTATGTGAATTTTGTTGGATAAATTTGGTCCCTAGGGGTTGGATTCCCAAAGCAAATAGTTGGGCTGGAGCATTTTGTGACAAGCATCTCTGATGAAATAGATTGTTATATAAAGCTGTTTTTTGGCTGTGACTTGACGTCTGGCCTCTCATGAAACAGCTTGTTTTTGGAGCTGTGTTCGTATGAGCAGATTTTGACTTCAGTACATCAAATTCTGTGGGGCTCAAGGGATAAAAACATTTCAAATTTTGTTTTTGGAGTAGCAAAATGAACTGCCTGTAATTATGGGCAGGAGGGGTTTATTTCAGAGTGAATTTATCTACAGGAACAAATTATGATATGGAGAAATGTATAAACTTTTTCATGTGTGGAACACAGTCTTAGACTGAGAAAAATACTTTTACATTTAAATTATTCTTGTTAAGATCTTTTTCCATGCAATTATCTGATTACTTTCATTCCAGTTTTACCTTGCCTCTAATGCAGAAAATAGCTGCTCCTTTTTTTTTTTTTTAAAGATCTCAGCTATTTCTTTCATATGAATAAATCAGCTCTTATTCTGTTGCTTTTTTTACCGCCTAGATTAATTTCTAGCAGTCTCTTCTCATGTCATCTCTTCCCTTTCCAACTTGCTATGCTAATTGTGTCTCTCTGAACTCACTCTGACTTCTTCTTGTCCTCAGATTGTCTCATGCAACGAGGCTTGATGGTTGGTTTTCGTGCACCTAGGGCTGCATTTAGCTTACTATTTGCTGAATCACTCCAACCTAGAAGCTGCCGGAGCTGGCCTGAGTGGTTCTTTCAATGAATATGCTGCCGGAGGAGGCGAGAAAGGCAGTGCTGCACTAACAGGGATGCTCTTGGTGGAATACCCTTACCCCAGCCCACCCCACCCTGGTTGCTCCACCAGGTATTTCGGGTGCTGAGACAGGCTCCTGGTTGGTATGTGCTGAAGGAGGTCAGTGGGTTGCAGGTTTTACACTAGCTAGATCCTAGGCCATGTGGTTGCATACAGTATAAGGTACTTCGTTGTACAAGGCAGTCCTCTGTGCATCTCATTTTAGTATTTTTGTATGTGTAGTCATGTACATACTTGCACAGTGACACTTTGCCAGGAG